AGCCCTCCCTGGGATCTTGAGGTTGAGGTCGCAGGTGCTGCCGATGGTGGCGATGGAGGGGGCCTGGCGCGGGCGGGTGATGCTCTCCTTCATCCGACCTTCACCCGTCACCTTCACCGTGAAGGGGCTCCCTACGGGTGAAGGCCACCTCAGGGACCACGGCCACCACCAGGAGACCCACCAGGTGTCACCCCACGTGTCCCCCCTCCTCCCCCCAGCACCGTCCCTCTCCCCACCTGGGACGTGTTTGTCGGCGAACTTGATGTTGATGATGTAGTTGCCGGGCTCGGTGGGGCAGTAGGTGACCTTGCAGGTCCCGTCCTCCACGTCCTCGCAGTTGATGTCCACCTTGCTGGGCCCCTCGATGGACAGGCCCAGCCCACCGTAGCCTGGGTGGCCCAGGGTTGGATGGACAGAGGGATGGACGGACACATGGGTGGACGGAGACACGGAAGTAGGGGTAGATGCAGGGTTGGCCGGACGTGGGGATGGGTGGAGACGGGGATGACCCGGAGGACGAGCAGACACGTGTGGGGTCAGATGGACACGCGTGGGGTCAGATGGACATGCGTGGGGTCAGATGGACACGTGTGGGGTCAGATGGACACGCGTGGGGTCAGATGGACACGTGTGGGGTCAGATGGACACGCGGACGGAGTCACCACCGGCGGGGACGCAGGGATGGGAGGAGAGAAGGAAGAAGGAAGCAGAAATCAGAGGTGGAGCGACCTGGACCTGTCCCTGTCCCCATGGCCCAGGGAGGAGGAGGAGGAGGAGGAGGAGAAGAAGGAGGAGGAAGAGGAGGAGGAGGAAGAAGATCAAGCCCTACCTGGGATCTTGAGGTTGAGGTCACAGGTGCTGCCGATGGTGGCGATGGAGGGGGCCTGGCGCGGGCGGGTGATGCTCTCCTTCATCCGACCTTCACCCGTCACCTTCACCGTGAAGGGGCTCCCTACGGGTGAAGGCCACCTCAGGGACCACGGCCACCACCAGGAGACCCACCAGGTGTCACCCCACGTGTCCCCCCTCCTCCCCCCAGCACCGTCCCTCTCCCCACCTGGGACGTGTTTGTCGGCGAACTTGATGTTGATGATGTAGTTGCCGGGCTCGGTGGGGCAGTAGGTGACCTTGCAGGTCCCGTCCTCCACGTCCTCGCAGTTGATGTCCACCTTGCTGGGCCCCTCGATGGACAGGCCCAGCCCACCGTAGCCTGGGTGGCCACAGGGGACACGCTCAGAGGTGTCCCATGGCTCCTGGTCCCAGCACACCATGGCCACCACCCCATCCCATCCTGGCCATGACCACACCAAGGCCACCATCCCATCCTGGCCATGGCCACCATCCCACCCTGGCCATGACCATGCCATAGCCATGGTCTCCTTGTCAACACCCTCTTAGCTATGGTTGCACCACGGCCATGGCCACCATACTTTCCTGGTCACGGCCACACCACGGCCATGACCATGGCCACCACCTCATCCTGTGCTGGCCACAGCCATGACATGGCCTTGGCCACCATCACATCTTGGTCATGGCCATGGCCACCACCTTATCCCAGCCATGGCCATGGCCACCATCTCATCCTACCCATGACCATGGCCACCATCCCATTCCATCCGTGACCACCATTCCAGCCATGGCCATGGCCACCACCTCATCCCACCATGACCACGGCCACCATCCCATCCCATCCCCTCCACGATCACCATTCCATCCCATCCGTGATCACCATCCCATCCTAGCCATGGCCACCACGTCATCCTACCATGATCATGGCCACACCTCATCCCATCATGACCATGGCCACCATCCCATCCCACCCCATCCCACTCCATCCCATCCCATCCCCTCCCCGATCACCATTCCATCCCATCCGTGATCACCATCCCATCCTAGCCATGGCCACCACCTCATCCCACCATGACCACAGCCACCATCCCACCCCACCCCATCCCATCCCAGATCCCCATGTCATCCTAGCCATGGCCACCACCTCATCCCACCATGACCACGGCCACCATCCCATGTCATCATCCCATCCTAGCCATGGCCACCACCTCATCCCACCATGATCATGCCACCACCTCATCCCACCATGACCACAGCCACCATCCCACCCCACCCCATCCCATCCCAGATCCCCATGTCATCCTAGCCATGGCCACCACCTCATCCCACCATGACCACGGCCACCATCCCATGTCATCCATGATCACCATCCCATCCCATCCCAGATCACCATCCCATCCTAGCCATGGCCACCACCTCATCCCATCCTAGCCATGGCCACCACCTCATCCCACCATGACCATGGCCACCATCCCGTTCCATCCGTGATCACTATCCCATCCTAGCCATGGCCACCACCTCATCCCACCATGATCATGCCACCACCTCATCCCATCATAACCATGGCCACCATCCCATCCCATCCCATCCCATCCATGATCACCATCCCATCCTAGCCATGGCCACCACCTCATCCCACCATGACCATGGCCACCATCCCGTTCCATCCGTGATCACTATCCCATCCTAGCCATGGCCACCACCTCATCCCACCATGATCATGCCACCACCTCATCCCATCATAACCATGGCCACCATCCCATCCCATCCCATCCCATCCCATCCCATCCCATCCCATCCATGATCACCATCCCATCCTAGCCATGGCCACCACCTCATCCCACCATGACCATGGCCACCATCCCATCCCATCCCAGATCACCACCCCATCCTAGCCATGGCCACCACCTCATCCCACCATGACCGTGGCCACCACCTCATCCCACCACCCATGACCACCCCATGGCAAGGACCATCCCCAGGCCCCATCCCCACTCACCGGCGCTTCGTGTGTCCACGATGAACTCGGCCACCTCGAAGGTGTGACCTTCCACCAGCCCCTTGCCCCACACCTTCACCCGGCTGGCGTCCCCGATCTCCGACTGTCCCACCAGGATCTTGAAGGGGCTGTTGGTGACGTGCTGCCCGCTCTTCTTCACGCTCACCACGTGCTCGCCCACCTCCTTGGGCGTGAAGGAGATACCTATGGGGGGAGGACAACACACCACCGTTAGTCACCTCCACCAGCCCTGGCCATCACCAGCCCCTGGTCACCACCATCACCAGCCCTTGGTCACCTCTACCATCCCTGGCCACCTCCACCAACTCCTGGCCACCTCCACCAACTCCTGGCCACCACCACCAACCTCTGGCCACCTCAGCCAGCCCTGGCCACCACCAGCCCCTGGTCACCACCATGAGGCCCTGGCCACCACCAGCCCCTGGTCACCACCATCACCAACCCCTGGCCACCTCTACCAGCCCCTGGCCACCTCTACCAGCCTGTGACCACCTCTACCAACCCCTGGCCACCACCAACAACAACCCCTGGCCACCTCTACCAGCCCCTGGCCACCTCTACCAGCCTGTGACCACCTCTGCCAACCCCTGGCCACCACCACCAACCTCTGGGCACCTTGGCCAGCCCTGGCCACCTCCACCAGCCCCTGGCCACCTCTACCAGCCTGTGACCACCTCTGCCAACCCCTGGCCACCACCAACAACCTCTGGCCACCTCAGCCAGCCCTGGCCACCACCAGCCCCTGGTCACCACCATGAGGTCCTGGCCACCATCACCAGCCCCTGGCCACCACCACCAGCCAACCTCTGGCCACCTTGGCCAGCCCTGGCCACCACCACCAACCTCCAGCCACCTCCACCAGCCCCTGGCCACCTCTACCAGCCCCTGGCCACCACCACCAACCTCTGGCCACCTTGCCCAGCCCTGGCCACCACCACCAGCCCCTGGCTACCTCTACCAGCTCCTGGCCTCCATCACAAGCCAACCTCTGGCCACTTCCATCAACCAACCACCACCAACTCCTGGCCACCACCACCAACCTCTGGCCACCTTGCCCAGCCCTGGCCACCACCACCAGCCCCTGGCCACCACCATCAGCCTATGACCACCATCACCAACCCCTGGCCACCACCACCAGCCCCTGGCTACCTCTACCAGCTCCTGGCCTCCATCACAAGCCAACCTCTGGCCACTTCCATCAACCAACCACCACCAACTCCTGGCCACCACCACCAGCTCCTGGCCACCTCTACCAACCCCTTGCCACCACCACCAGCCCCTGGCCACCAGCAACGTGCCCTGGCTGTGGCCACCAAGCCCGTGGGCACCCAATACCACGGGGGCCACCCATCTCTGTGACCCCACAGCCCTGGTGGTCCATGTCCCTCAAGCCCCACATCACCCCCTGAAGCCCACCACCCTTCTCCCCCCGTCCCACTTCTCCTCCTGGCCCCCCAGGTGGCCCCACGTCCCCTGTCCCCGTGTCCCCCACTCACCGATGTGGCGGTTGGGCAACCTCTTGAGGAGACAGGGCTCCTCGTTGCCCGAGGGCGCCCGGATGCTGGCCGTCAGCAGGCTCAGGTCCGTCTCCGTGATCTTCAGCGAGACGTCGGTGGAGGTGCCCACGTTGAGTTGGGACGTCCGCATGGAGTCATCCCCTACGGAGAGACCATCAGGGGGGCTTTGGAGGGGGGGGACAGGATGGTAGCCCGAGGTGGGGTGGGGTGGGATGGATGGGGTCTCCATGGCCATGGTCACCAGGGTTAGGGATGGATGGGGTCTCCATGGACTTGGTCACCAGGGTCAGGGGTGGATGGGGTCTCCAGGGATGGAGGTGCACTCTACCAACCCCTTGCCACCACCACCAGCCCCTGGCCACCAGCAACATGACCTGGCTGTGGCCACCAAGCCCCTGGGCACCCAATACCACGGGGGCCACCCATCTCTGTGACCCCACAGCCCTGGTGGTCCATGTCCCTCAAGCCCCACATCACCCCCTGAAGCCCACCACCCTTCTCCCCCCGTCCCACTTCTCCTCCTGGCCCCCCAGGTGGCCCCATGTCCCCTGTCCCCGTGTCCCCCACTCACCGATGTGGCGGTTGGGCAACCTCTTGAGGAGACAGGGCTCCTCGTTGCCCGAGGGCGCCCGGATGCTGGCCGTCAGCAGGCTCAGGTCCGTCTCCGTGATCTTCAGCGAGACGTCGGTGGAGGTGCCCACGTTGAGTTGGGACGTCCGCATGGAGTCATCCCCTACGGAGAGACCATCAGGGGGGCTTTGGAGGGGGGGGACAGGATGGTAGCCCGAGGTGGGGTGGGGTGGGATGGATGGGGTCTCCAGGGATGGAGGTGCATGGGGTCTCCATGGCCATGGACTTGGTCACCAGGGTCAGGGGTGGATGGGGTCTCCAGGGATGGAGGTGCATGGGGTCTCCATGGCCATGGACTTGGTCACCAGGGTCAGGGATGGAGGGGGTCTTCAGGGATGGAGGTGGATGGGATCTCCATGGCCATGGTCACCAGAGTCAGGGATGGATGGAGTCTCCAGGGATGGAGGTGGATGGGGTCTCCATAGACATGGACATGGTCACCAGGGTCAGGGGTGGATGGGTCTCCAGGGATGGAGGTGGATGGGGTCTCCATGGCCATGGTCACCAGAGTCAGGGATGGATGGAGTCTCCAGGGATGGAGGTGGATGGGGTCTCCATGGACATGGCCATGGTCACCAGGGTCAGGGATGGATGGGGTAACCACGGATGGTGAATAGGCTCCTCAAGACCACGTGACAGGACCTCCATGGCCACGCGGTGGAGTTCCCCATAGCAGCGTAAGGGGCTCCCCAAGGCCACACGAGGTACTTGGTCACCTATGTCAGGGATGGATGGGGTCTCCTGGGATAGAGGTGGATGGGGTCTCCATGGCCACGGCCATGGTCACCGGGGTCAGGGATGGATGGGGTCTCCAGGGATGGATGGGGTCTCCAGGGACGGAGGTGGATGGGGTCTCCATGGCCATGGCCATGGTCACCAATGTCAGGGATGGATGGGGTCTCCAGGGATGGAGGTGGATGGGGTCTCCATGCCACCAGAGTCAGGGATGGATGGGGTCTCCATGGCCATGGTCACCAGGGTCAGGGATGGATGGGTCTCCAGGGATGGAGGTAGATGGGATCTCCATGGCCATGGTCACCAATGTCAGGAATGGATGGGGTCTCCATGGCCATGGTCACCAGGGTTAGGGATGGATGGGGTCTCCAAGGATGGAGGTGGATGGGATCTCCATGGCCACGGCCATGGTCACCAGGGCCAGGGATGGATGGGGTAACCATGGATGGTGAATAGGCTCCTCAGGACCACGTGACAGGACCTCCATGGCCACGTGGTGGGGTTCCCCACAGCTGCGTAAGGGGCTCCCCAAGGCCACACGAGGTCCCCAAGACCACATGATGGGCTCCTGGTGGCCGTGCAGGGATCCCTGTGGCCACGACCACATAGTGGTCCCCGTGGAGGTCCCAAGGACCTTGGTGGGTCTCCATCTCACCGGTGATCTTGGCGGTGAAGGGGCTGCCTGGGATGTGCTTGTCGTCGAAGCGGACAATGATGTTGTAGTCCCCGGGGGCGGTGGGGAGGTAGGACACGGTGCAGGTCCCGTCCTTGTTGTCCTGGCAGGTGATCTCCGCCTTGGAAGGACCCTCCACCGCCAAGGAGAGCCCACCTGGGGGGCAGGAGGTGGAACATCAGGGGGGCATTGAGGTTCTCCAAGCCCTCTTGGTGGACTTCAGGGGTCTCCAAAGTCCTCCCAGATGTTCTGGTGGCCCCCTTGGCCACCACTCACCCTCCCCGGCGTCCTTGGTGACGATGGTGAAGGTGCAAGGCTTGTTGACCATGCCGTGGCTCAGGCCCGGCCCGTAGGCGCTCACGTGTCGGGGGTTGATGGCGTCCACGTAGAACTGGAGGGGACTCCCTGGGGACATGGTGGAAATGGGGGGGACAACGGTCAGGGACCCCACGGGGACACCCTTCACCACAGTGGGCTCCTCAACCCATAGGTGCCCAACTCATGGTTGCCCAACCCATGGTTCCTCAACCCCTGGTGCCCAACCCATGGCTGCTCAACCCATGGGTGCCCAACCCATGGTTCAACTCATGGGTGCCCAACTCATGGTTCTTCAATTCATGGGTGCCCAACCCATGGTTCCTCAAGCCATGGTTCTTCAACCCATGAGTGCCCAACTCATGATTGTCTAACCCATGGTTCCTCAACCCCTGGTTGCCCAATCCATGGTTCCTCAACCCTTGGTTGCCCAACACATGGCTCCTCAACCCATGGTTGCCCAACCCATGGTTCCTCAACCCATATGTGTCCAACTCATGGGTGCCCAACCCAGGGTTCTTCAACCCATGGGTGCCCAACTCATGGCTCCTCAACCCATGGCTCCTCAACCCCTGGTGCCCAACCCATGAGTGCCCAACCCATAGCTCCTCAACCCATGGTTCTTCAACCCATGGGTGCCCAACTCATGGGTGCCCAACCCATAGCTCCTCAACCCATGGTTCTTCAACCCATCGCTCCTCAACCCACAGCTCCCCAACCCATGGTTCCTCAACTCATGGGTGCCCAACCCATAGTTCCTCAACTCATGGGTGCCCAACCCAGGGTTCCTCAACCCATGGGTGCCCAACCCATGATTGTCCAACCCATGGGTGCCCAACCCAGGGTTCTTCAACCCATGGCTCCTCAACCCCTGGAACCCAACCCGTAGCTCCTCAACCCATGGGTGCCCAAACCATGGTTCCTCAACCCATGGCTCCCCAACCCATGGTTCCTCAACTTATGGGTGCCCAACCCATGGGTGCCCAGCCCATGGTTCTTCAACTCATGGGTGCCCAACTCATGGCTCCTCAACTCATGGCTCCTCAACCCATGGTTCCTCAACCCATGGTTCCTCAACCCATATGTGTCCAACTCATGGCTCCTCAACCCATAGCTCCTCAACCCATGGTTCTTCAACCCCTGGAACCCAACCCATAGCTCCTCAACCCATGGGTGCCCAACCATGGTTCCTCAACCCATGGCTCCCCAACTCATGGTTCAACTCATGGGTGCCCAACCCATGACTCCTCAACCCCTGGTGCCCAAACCATGGGTGCCCAACTCACGGGTGCCCAACCCATGGTTCCTCAACCCCCGGTGCCCAAGCCAGGGTTCTTCAACCCATGGGTGCTCAACCCATGGTTGCCCAGCCCATGGTTCTTCAACCCATAGCTCCTCAACCCCTGGTTGCCCAACCCATGGTTCTTCAACCCATGGTTCTTCAACCCCTGGTGCCCAACCTGTAGCTCCTCAACCCATGGGTGCCCAAACCATGGTTCAACTCATGGGTGCCCAACTCATGGTTCTTCAATTCATGGGTGCCCAACCCATGGTTCCTCAAGCCATGGTTCTTCAACCCATGAGTGCCCAACTCATGATTGTCTAACCCATGGTTCCTCAACCCCTGGTTGCCCAATCAGGGCGAGATGGCATCAGCCTTGCTCAGCCCCCTCCCAGTGCCTCCCAGTGCCTCCCAGTGCCCTCACCGGGGATGTGGTTGCCGTCGTAGCGGATGTCCATCTCGTGGAGGCCCTTCTCGGTGGGGGCGTACCGCACCGTCACCGTCCCGTCCTTGTTGTCGGTGATGTTGGGTCGCGCCGTCTTCCCCGAGGGCATCCTCACCTCCCCTGGGGCCACCAGGCATCAGCCAGGCACCCATGTGGGGCTGGCTGGCACCCCACTGCGCCCCACAGCGTGGTCCATCCCCTCCCACCGTCCCACCCCACCCCATACCTGTGATCTCACCCTTCTGCACGGTGAAGGGGATGACGAGGTTGAAGGGCCGGAGGTTCTCGGCGGTGCTGGGGGGCTCCTCGGTGGCCTGACGCCGTGGGGCAGGGAGGAGGGGTAAGACCCACAGCACCCCATCATGGGCTTCCAACCCCATGGTGACCACCACGACCCCAACTCGCTGCCCCATAGTGCCCACCACAGCCTCACAGCTCCACACTGTCCACCACGGCCCCAAATCTCTGCCCCATGGTGTCCACCAAGGCCCCAACTCTCTGCCCCACGGTGTCCATCATGGTTTCTCAACCCCATGGTGTCCACCATGGCCACAGACTTCTGTCCCATGGTGTCCATCATGCTCTCCCAACCCCATGGAGCCTACCATGGTCTTCTAACTCTATGGTGCCCAACTCTATGGTGCCCACCAGGTGCCCACCATGATCTCCCAACCCCATGGTGCCCACCACGGTCTTCCAACCCCATGATGCCCACCATGGTCTTCCAAGTCCCCAGTGTCCACCAAGGCTTCCCAACTCTATGGTGCCCACCATGGTCTTCCAACCCCATGGTGCCCATCATGGTCTTCCAACCCCAAGGGGCCCACCAGGATCTCCCAACTCCACGGTGTCCACCAAGGCTTCCCAACCCCATGATGCCCACCATGGTCTCCCAACTCTATGGTGCCCAAGGTCTCCCAACCCCACGGAGACTATCATGGCTTCCCAACCGTCTTCCAAGTCCATGGTGTCCACCAAGGCTTCCCAACTCTATGGTGCCCACCATGGTCTTCCAACCCCATGGTGCCCATCATGGTCTTCCAACCCCAAGGGGCCCACCAGGATCTCCCAACTCCACGGTGTCCACCAAGGCTTCCCAACCCCATGATGCCCACCATGGTCTCCCAACTCTATGGTGCCCAAGGTCTCCCAACCCCACGGAGACTATCATGGCTTCCCAACCCCGTGGTGCCCACCATGGTCTTCCAATTTCATGGTGTCCAGCCCATGGTGGGCTTCCCAACTCTGCGATGCCCACCATGGTCTTCCACGGTCTCTCAACCCCATGGCTCCCACCACAACCCCAACGCTCCCCTGCTTGAACCCACCATGTCCTCCCAACCCCATGGAGCCCACCACGGTCTCCCAACCCCATGGAGCCCACCATGGTCTTCCAGCTCTATGGTGCCCACCACGATCCCCCACCCCCATGGATCCCACCATGGTCTCCCAACTCTACGGTGCCCAACCCCATGGAGCCCACCACGGTCTCCCAACCCCATGGAGCCCACCATGGTCTCCCAAACCCATAGCGCCCACCGTGACCCCAAGGAGCCCACCATGGTCTCCCAACTCTGTGGGTGCCCAAGAAGGTCTCCCAACCCCATGGAGACTATCACGCCTTCCCAACTCTATGATGCCCACCATGGTCTTCCACGGCCTCCCAACCCCATGGAGCCCACCACGGTCTCCCAAACCCATGGAACCCACCATGGTCTCCCAACCCCATGGTGCCCACCACGGCCTCCCAACCCCATGGAACCCACCACGGTCTCCCAACCCCATGGAGCCCACCATGGTCTCCCAACCCCATGGAGCCCACCACGATCTCCCAACCCCATGAAGCCCACCACGATCTCCACCACGGCCTCCCAACCCCATGGCTCCCACCACAATCTCCCAACCCCATGGAGCCCACCAGAGTCTCCCAACCCCATGAAGCCCACCATAGTCTCCATCCCCATGGAGCTCACCATGGTCTTCCAGCCCCATGGAGCCCACCATGGTCTCTCAACCCCATGGAGCCCATCATCATCTCCCATCATCTCCCAACCTCATGTTCTACCAAAACCATGGAGCCCACCAGAGTCTTCCAACCTCATGGTGACTGCCATGGTCTCCAAACCGCATGGTGCCCACCATGATCTCCCAACCGGTCTCCAAGCCCATAGAGTCCACCATGGTCTTCCAGCCCCATAGAGCCCACCATGGTCTCCAAACCACATGGTGCCCACCATGATCTCCCAACCCCATGGAGCCCACCATGGTCTCCCAACCCCATAGAGTCCACCATGGTCTCCAAACCCCATAGAGTCCACCATGGTCTTCCAGCCCTCCCATGATGTTCGAGCCCCATAGGTCTACCCACTATGACCCCAATGCTCTACCCCATGGAGCCCACCATGATCTCCCAACCCCATAGAGTCCACCATAGTCTTTCAGCCCCATGGAGCCCACCATGGTCTTCCATCCCCATGGAGCTCACCATGGTGTTCCAGCCCCATGGAGCCC